CTCCGCCTCCTCTCCTCCTCCTCCTCTCCTCGTCCTCCTCCTCCTCTCCTCCTCCTCTCCTCCTCTCTCTCCTCCTCCTCTCCTCCTCCTCCTCCTCCCTCCTCCTCCTCCTCCTCCTCCTCCTCCTCCTCCTCTCCTCCTCCTCCTCCTCCTCCTCCTCCTCCTCCTCCTCCTCCTCCTCCCTCTCTTCCAACTCTCCATACCCCCATGGCTCGTTCCCCTTCCGCCGTCATGGCAATCCTCTCCGGCTCGGTGCCTGTGCGAAGCGGTGCCACGGCGCCGGCTGCCGCTCGAGCGGTTGGTCCTGGGCCAGCGCCCCCCCCACGGGCAGGGACTCGGGCGGCCGTTCCCGCGGCCTTCCCCTGGCCGCCCCTGCAGCGTGAGGCCCATCACCAGGGGAGGCAAACCGCCCAGACCCGATGATTGCCTAAACGGCCCTGGCCGTTCACTGAACAGCCCTGCCCTGTTCGATTCCTGCCGTGGGCGCGTTCACTACAGTCGGACTACATTGGACAGGACACGCGAGAGGACAGAATACCCTTCCGAGGGCCACACTGCCATAGGAATGCAGGAGGCACGGGTCGCGAGACACAGGACACAAAGGTAGCTTTGATTTGGCAGGGCCAACCTACTAATCCGGGCCGACTGTGAACGGCTTCGCGTGTTGGGGTGATTCTTCTGGGGGGGGGATGTCCTGCCCTCGACATCGGTAGCACGCCAGGTCGCCCCAGGCGATGAGCGAGCGATGCGAGGCCATTGCTCGGTGCCTGGCGTCCGCGCGGACGCCCCCCGCGCTCTCGGCAAGCTGGGACGCCGCCAGAAAGGCGGAGCCGCTGCAGAGCCAACGGTACGATGGCCACTGGCGGGCTACATCCGACAAAGGATGGTGGGAGACCCCGTCGGCCCGACGCGCCGACAGAGGGTGGCTGCGTCGTCGCCCTGGGCTGCCGTGGCCCGCACGGCCGCTCTGGGGCCGGCCGCTGCGCGCGCCGCTGCCGCGGCCGCTGGCGCTGCGGCCGCTGCTGCGGGCCGCTCGAGCGGCGGCCGTCGCCGCGGACGCGGCCGCTGCCGGCTCGGCTGCCGGCGCCGGCGCGGTGGCCGCGTCTGCTGCCCCCCCCCCCCCGCGGCGGCTGCCGCCGCCGCTTCGGCTGCCCCCGCCGCGGCGGCTGGCGCCGCCGGGCGGGCGGAACGCCGGGAGGGGGGGGGGACGCCTCGGGGGTGGCGGGCTCCCGAGCCTCGGCATGCTCCCCCACTTGGAGGGCAGAGCCCACCTGAGGCGTTCCAGACATGGCCTTGCCTTCGAGGATTGAAGGAGTTACCACCTCTTCCTCCTCGAAAGGTCGGCGGAAGTAAAACGAGGCCGCCTCCGCCGGCGGAAGGCGGCGGGATGTGGCGGAAGTAAGACATGCGTCCCCACGAGATGACCGCATTTTTGGGCCCAGGGTTTCCTGCATCCGCCGCCTGAAGACCAACACCTGGGGCCTGTGCCACATAAGATTCCCACCCTCTAGCCACAGGCGTCCATGTACACACTGGACGGACGGTTGTCTGCTAGCTCTGCCTCCGGGGCCCCTTGCCGGGCCTCGGGACAGTCAGAGAACGATGCGGAACGAGAAACCAGTCCCGTGGAATGGGTCGAGACCGCTGGGGTCGACGTTATGGCGTGGCGTTCTGTTGGTTCTGGCCCACCACCCTTCGGCACACGCTATCCACTTCCTGGCCGCCAGCTGTCAGCGTCCCGAGCCTTTCCTGGCCTCCCACCCCGCGGAGCGGAGCAACACGTTTTCCGCTCGCTGGGCACAGCGTCGCCGGTCGCTGGGGCTGCCGCGGCGACACGCTAATCGACGACGCATCATAAGAGTGATCCTTCGCTGGACTGACCTTTGGTGCGGGCTCACTTGGGTCCTCTCAGCACTGGCATGCGCGCTGGGATTTGGCCAACCCGCGGTCCCCTTTAAAGCCGCGCACCAATGGTCACTCTTGCCTAGGCCCACTCTTGCATATAGTCGAGCTGACCATTAGCACCCGACCGTATACGGTAGGTTCGTGTCGTGTCGACCGGCGGCGACACCGCAGCCAGCGTTCAACGTTAAACGCCGCCGGCGACCCAGAATCGGTCGAGGTTGAAAGATTCTGGACGTTTCGGAAACCGCCGATCGTTCAAGGTTGAACGATCCCCGCCGCGTCAGGAACCAGCGCCGAAGTCGGCACGGCACGCGCCTTCAGTAGCTGGCGCCGTCCTGTTGCCCCGAGGACACGAACCCGCTGCCGTTCCGCAGCATCTGCGCCGTGCTCGGGGTGTCGAAGAGGAGCGGAAGGGCTGCGGGCGGCTCGGGCGCTAGGGGGGGCGGAGCAGCCGCGTGGCTGTCTGGGCCTCCCAGGGGGGGGTCTGGAGATCGCGGCGCATCGCCGATGCTCGGGTCGGGCCAAAGGGGGGGATTGGGAAAGGGGGGTTACGACATTTTCGCTGCATGCAGCTGGTTTCGGCCTCGCCGAGGGGCCTATTCCTCGGTACATGGCCGCCTCCGGCGCCGGGAGGCGCCGGGAAAATCAGCTACGTGAGCTGATTCTCAAACCCCCCTTTTGCTATCCCCCCCTTTCGCCCGACCCGAGATGCATGGGTGATGCGGCTCGATGTGGAGCCAGATTTCCTCTAATGCCGATGGCGCCGATGCACCGCCAGCGTCGGCGTTGCATCGTCGATGCGTCGGCGATGCGGCGCGGTCCTCCGACCCCATCTGCTCGGGCGACACCTGGGCGGCTTCTACTGACGCTGTCATGCTAGGCGTCAAGGTTGTACTCTTGCCTTCTTAAAGTGGTTCGTATGTCATGTGGGGCAGTTGTTTTACGGAGTCACCACCAAACTGCACAATGTCAAACGTAGATGCTCGTTGGCGAGCGAGTAGTACGAAGCACCTTGCCAAATCTCGATAGTGCACCGAGGGTACTCAGTGGTTGACCAAAGGCGCCGTCGCCAAAATAGACCAAACGCAGTACTTCGCATCAGGGGCGTTTGAAGGCGGCACCGTCACCAAATATCCGTTTGCGGCAATACTGAATTTGACAGTACTGCGGGGGAGGTGCGGTGGCACTTTCTCAGAGACGGCTTTCTCCTTCTCGTTGATCCTCCAACGCCGCAGTGGGAAGGCCACCACAGTCCAAGGAGCGGCGGGCCGCGCGCACAACAGTGTTCGACATAATCGTGCCTTGCAAGAGCAGGGGACCAGGGTCTCGGCCGCGTTCCCGGGTTAAGCCTTGCTATGGCCCCCGGCTAGCGTTGCTTGGCGACTGAGCGTTTTGGTCATTCGTTACTTGGATCGGTGCGGGGGCTGCTGTTGGGATAAGGTGGAGCCTCAGTGAATGCCAAAGCGCGGCTATGCGCGATGCGTGGCTTAGGGGTATGATCAGGACTACGTGGGCCCGCCCACTCAGCGGAGCTTCCTTCCACCAAGCCACTTTGGGACAGTTGTAACCCATTTGTAAGCAAGGTTTGGCAAGACCCTAGCATCAATGTATGAGCCCATAGCCCCCTACCACTTTACGTGGCCCCCCCGCGCTGATCCAAGCAAACAGCCGCTGCTCCCTGGGGGCCTGCGCCGCGCATTCAGAGTTTCGGAGCCGCGGTCCGCCTGAGGAGGAGGAGGAGGAGGAGGGGGAGGAGGAAACACGAGGAGGAGGAGGATGATCGAAGATAGCGGTTCCTGTATGTTGTGAAAAATGTCTGGGCCTCATGACGCTTCTGGAGGCCCGCGCACGTCCAGAGGTCTTTTGGGGGCATGGGGGGTTGGACTCCTGCTGGTGCGCGTCCTCCTCCTCGTCATTTTTGTTTCGTATGCCAAGAGGGACAGCACCCCACGTCCAGGAGCATCCATGTAAGTCTGAATTTGCCTGGTGCGAGCCGTCCCGCGTGGTGCCATCCATCTGCGTGCAGGACCTGAGCAGCATAATCCCAGCATGATCCTCGTCCGTTAGTTACCCCTTTCTTAGAATGCAAAGCCTGGCAGGTCACGTTCAGCATCGGCGCTGGTGTTTCCGTGCCTCCCAAAAAGAACCGTCCGAATCCCGCTAATGTTTCCGCACTCCATTCGAATATGGCTCGATCCTTGGCTTAGTCCGGTACCGTCTGGCCCAATTGCTCCAGAATCGGGCTCCATTGCAATTGCCCCAGAATCGGGCTCAATGGCCCTTCGATCAGTCTTGCGCAAGCCCTTGGCGGGGAAGCCTCCTGCCGCCCCCTCTCAAGGGAGGAAAAGCCACCCGTACCCGACAGTTGGCGTTTACTAAACGGCCCTGGACGTTATTAAACAGCCCTGCCCTGGTCGATTCTTCCCATGGGTGCGTTTACTGAACGGCTTCGCTTGTCGGGGTGCTCATCAGGGGGATGGATGTTCTCCTCTCTACCTTTTGTTCCAAGCCTCTCGCCCGTCACCACTCTTTGCCCGCAGAATGCGCGGTCTTCCGCTGCCCTGTTCCTGCTCATCTTCCTCTCCCGCCCCTCCCTTCTCGAGGTGCCTGGGGCCGCAGAGTATGTCCCGGAGCGCTTCGTCTCGAACTCCAGGGGTTCCCATGCTACGGATCAGCGAGTGTGTTTTCGTGCATGACTTGTAGTTTTGCGTGGCGGTCTTCAAGTCTTGCCTGGCGGCGTCCGGGCCCACGATGCCGCGGCGCACGTGACGTGGCGAATGCAAGGCCGAGGAGGACAGAGAGGAGGAGGATCAGGAGAGGCAGGAGAGGCCGCAGAGGCAGGCGGTGGAGGCGGAGGAGGCAGAGCAGACGATGCTGGGCGCAGACCTCTGGCGAGCGCCCGTTGCCCCAGGCAGCCCAGACCCTCGCTTGACAGCAGCAGGCTCGGGCTGGGCTTGTTGGCCCTCCGCCTAGCATGTTTCAGATCTTCCCCCGCTCGTCTCGGAGCCTCTGCTCGCTCGCTGGTGCCGTTTGTCTCTCCTGCCTGTGTCCTGCATGTGGACCACCTCGGGCTCGCCGGCAGGAACAATTTCGTCATGAATTCGGTCGCCGTGCCGCGCATCCCCGAGGAGGCCGTGGGTGGCATCTGCGAGCTGGTGGACGAGGCGGGCAGCTGCAGTGCAGACCTGGTAGTTTGAGAGTACGGGTGTGCGGCTACACGCTGGGTGTCGTGAGATGGGGTCACCACATCAACCAATATCATTGCATGTTCGCCAGAGTCGCACTATTGATTGCAGCGGTCGTCGTCGGGGAGACGTACGGTCGAGTAGACGAGAACCTGCCGCTCACAGAAAAAGTTTGAGAAGACCTTGCAAACCGCAGCGTCAGATTTTTCCGCACGCACACCAGCGCAGTGTTCAACGAACATCCATGCAATATTACCTAATCCCCGCCCGTGATTGGAACGGCTTGGTTGTAGTGCTCTATAAACGAGAATGAAACGTGCGTGTTATTGAAGTGCGGTTGACAGGTTATCTCTGCAGTGCGATTGATTATGTAGTTCCCAGTAGTGTACAACCACACCAACAGCCCCCATTCGGAGTATTTTGCAGCAGCGAGAGGGCAAGTCAATTGTCGCTGATCTGTTGGACGTGGCAAACTATGTCTTGCCGTGCTCTATGTCGGCGTCAGCCGATGCACAGCATGTGAAATAGCGGTACGATGGTTGCGCTGATCCAGAGCATATGGCATCACTACGAAGTTCCTGATTCTTGCGGCTCATGCTTCGAGCTGCATCCCGCAGTGGAAGTTGACCTGGCTGAGATTAACGGTCGTATTGCAGCAGCACGGTCTTGCATCCCCCAGTCAACGGAGAAGGGTGGAGGGATGGACCTCGAGGACGGTGCCAAAGTAGCAGTCGCCGGGCGACAATTCTCAGATGCGACGCGGGAGTAGGGAGTGGGGAGATGGAAGTGCGTGTCCAAGTTGGTGGTTCACGATGTATTGAATCAGTCCTCTAGCAGAAAGGTATATCATCGTGGTCATCAGGGCTACCATTCTTTATTGGGGGGGGGTCACAAGCAGGGCTAACCTTAGGGCACGCGGCAGCTTTTCACGAGGGGTGGAATGTAAATCGCATCTCGCTAGATCCCGTGCCTCTGGACATGACAGAACCTGGTCGGGCTGGGCCGAGCCTAATGGGCGGGCCCAGTCGAATCGGGCGGACGGACCCCGACGGGCGGGTCGGGGCCAGATCGGGCGCACCCGACGGGTCGGGTCGGGCGGGCGGGACATTGACGAGCGGGGCGTTAAAGTATGGCGCATGATCGGGCGAGTACGCACGAACCTTGTGGAGGACGAGCAATGGAGAGGAAGCATGTTGCCAAAATAATTCCAAGATGCCTAAAACATGTGTTAAACATTTTTTTAATTTAAACACATGGTTAAACAAAAAACATGTTTAGAACATGATTCCGACATTCTAAACACAGTTTAAATTCAAGGATAAGACTGTTAGGGTGTCCAGTGTCGTGGTATCCACAACACGAACCCCAACGGGCGTGTCGGACCAGGTGGGGCGAACCCGACGCGTCGGATCGGGCGGGCGGGACATTAGAGTGCAGTGCGTGTTCGGGCCAGCACGCGTGAACCCCGACGGGCGGGTCGGGTCTGGTCGGGCGGACCCTAACGGGCGGGTCGGGTCGGATCGTGCGGTTTGGGTTCAGGCACTTCGGGAGGACGGGCACACTACTCTTGCGCACGCTCCGCGTCAATAGGGGTCGGATACTGGATCGTACTTCGTGCAGGGTTGAGGCCGCAGAGTAAGGGGCGGCAGCACGCGGCACGCGGTGTACACAAGCAGCGTCAGGGCACGAGTTTGCCCACGCAGACGACGTGGCATTCCAATGTCGTTCTTGCCATCGTCGCCCTGGCGGATCCGAATGTGGAACACCAGCGGTTCCCGTTGTCGGTTTCGCCTTCACCAAGTTGTTGCCACTCACGGGGGCGCCAGCCACCAAGAGTTCCCCCCTCTTCGATTCAGCCCAGCGCGTCTCGAGCGAGCATTCCAGGAGCGAGAGAAGGACGCACACGCGTACATGAATCCACGCTGGTTTCGAGAGCACGCATGGCGCGAAAGCTCGTATCAGGCGGCCGGTGTCGCCAATTGGGGGGCCGAGTTCATGCACATTTGTGGAAGTCGATTATTGGATAAGAAGCATGCTGCCAAATAATTTCCAGATGTCCAGAACATGTTTCAAACATGTTTAAGCATGTTTAAAACATGTTTAGAACATGTTTAGAACATGTTTCCCTACATGTTAAACACATTTTAGGACTGTTTGGATGTCCATTGTCGTGGCATCCACACATGTACACGGCTGGGCGCGTACGTCCTTTGTGGGTGCTTTGGCACTGTCCAGGGCTGCCCAGCACTCTGGCCAGGCCTCGGAGGCGAGGAGGCGATCGCGCCTCGCCGGCTTGGGCCACAGAGCATCAGGAGGGGAAAAACGCACAGACACAATTAATCGTCGACCCCCCAGAAAATATGGGGAAATGTAAGAAGTGGGGGGGGGAAGACAAAAACCCAGAACATATGGGAAAAGATCGGGAATCCTGTAATGTGTTAGTATTTGTTTGTGTGTGTCCCAGGGCCCCATTCAGAGTAGCTCTCCTCCCAGGGGCGGGCACGGCAGCGAATAGACGATCGTGCCTCGCGCGTCGCGCAGCCCGAGGCGCGAAGTCAGGCGGACCGGCAGCACTAACTGCGCCCGCTGCCTCGCACTGGAAGCGCCTCAAGCAGCACACAGTCGACCCGCACAGTAAGGGTGGGCAACCTTCCCAAGGGTACCCTTGCATCCTTGCCCTTCGGCCCATCCTTGGCCGCTCTCGTTGGCCGCGCCCCGCTCGAAAAGCTGCGAGATGGGTGTCCAAGGCCCTTGCGTCCTTATCGCACATCCTGCTTCCACGGGTTGACTGTAGTGCTGCGCGGTGCTACAATGGTACGGCGCTGCGCCGTGCAGCATTGGCTTGCACCCCTCTCGAGAAGGAGATGCGGATCTGCTCCGCGATCTCTTGTCACTTGCGTCGTGGTGCCACCGTCACGCGAGCCAGCTAACAGGGTCAGCATCGGAGACAAAGAGGAAGCGCCTCACGCCTACGGCAGGCAAAAGGATCGAGCACGACGATCAATGTCGAGTACAACCAGCTGGACCCGCTCCTGAAGGCGGGCGGCAGTTGGCACGCGCCGCCGCGTTCTTCCTCCTCATCTGGGACGCCCTCGTCCACTTCCTCCTTGAGTGCAACTTGCCTCCCTCCTTTCATGTCCCATCGGCGTCCTCATCCTATTGTGATCCTCCGCCCTTCTCAGCCACGAAAGTTTGATCGAATTCCCCCTTAACCCTGACCAGCCCTACTGACCCCCTAGAAGCCCCCCTGAAAAAGACCGTTCTTCTCATCCTCCTTGGATCCCTCCTCATCCTCCTCACCATCCCTTCTCATCCTTCTCTCCTTCTCCTCATCGCCTTCATCTTCCTGCCTGGTCCTCCTCACTGTCCGAGTGCAATTCGTGCAACGCAAGAGTCCCTCTTGGTGCCATCACAGGAGGCAGGTCATCACCTCTCGTCGGTATCGCAGCAATGTTGCCCAATTTCTCTCTTCCACTTCCTCGTCCTGGTCACCATCCTCCCCATCATCATCATCAGCATCATCATCATCATCATCATCATCCTCATCCTCATCCTCATCCTCATCCTCATCATCATCCTCATCTTCATCCTCATCACCATCAGCAGCATCATCATACTGCCAGGTTCTTCACTGCGGCTATGTAATAGTTGGCGGCGGCGCCGCCTCACAATGCCTTGGATGCGGAATGCTGAAATTGGTAATGTTGATTTGGGCGACGGCGCCTTTTGGTGAAACGCGAAGTGCCCTCGGTGCACTATCGAGATATGGCACAGGGTTGGCATAATAATCTCCCGCCTGCGAAACCTACGCTTCGCTTTGTTTAATTCCGTGGAAGTACAAGAGTACGTACTTCTACTTATCTTACTCATCCCCCACAGTCGTGTCATCCTTTTATCTTCGTATCCTCCTCCCCACATCCCCCCCGTCCTTTTCTTCATCCTCCCCCATCATCTTTGCGTTCATTCGAATAGGAGCGCGCGTGCGTTCGCTGCCTTTCCGGCTTGCAACGCGCACGCTGTAACCATATACTGAAGGAAAAGGACATATGTTTCGCCATCCCTCGCCTTACCATCGCCGCCATGTCTCCTTCCTTGCACCCATGTCACCGGACTTCCTGCTTGGCAGCGGAGCCGGGAACGATCCCAGCTCGCGGTTCACGGATTGCGCAAATTGACATGTGGACGCACATTCGCACCTCCCTTCGCTTTTCCACGTGTACTACGTGCTTACAGTTGTTTCGTAAGGCTTCGGACAATTCGTCCCGGGCGCCCACAGACAAACAATGTCGTGCGAGTCGCTGTGAGGAGCAGGCTGCGAGGGCATCAGCAGTTGCAGGAAACACACACTGGACCGCTCCCCCACGGGAGCGCCACTCCACGCCATCGCGCCCCATAGGTATTGGCCGCGGCTTCGAGTCGGACATGAATGCGAGCCACTTGCGTGGGTTAGTACCGTACCGCGCAATGTGTGCGAAATTGCAGGCTGTCCTGTATGAGAGCACGGCGCGACACGCGAGTGGAGCATGTCACGTTCGTGCACCCGTGTCACCACCCTTGGCACCAATGAGTTAGGGGCAACGATACCACCGTGTCACCTGCTTCAACATGGTAGCTCAACTCCGAACTGTCCTTCCTCGTCTTGTGTTGGTTTTTCCCCGAGCCGGACACCGACAATGATTTCAGTACCATCTACACCGACCCTCTCTCAGAACAAGGCGCCCGGACATGCGGATGGCACGTACTGTCGTCGTGCTGCGCGGTGTTTGGAAGTTTCGTCACAAACCTAGACCACAAAAATTGAGAGGTGGCCCGGTCCAGGTGCCACTTCACGTGCGGCCTGGCGTCCACCATTTGTCACCACCACTACAGCCACACCGCCCGTCCATGTTTTCAAGAATGTAGTAATGTTGGGTACGGTTGAGAGGCAGTCGGGGCAGAGCTGCGCCGTCCACTTGACCACGAAACTTGTTGCCCCACGCCCTGCAGCATGCTCTGTGCCCTGGCGTTCGGACGCACGATGCAGAAGGTGTGTCGCTTCAGGCACGGTGACACCTTTGTTGCGCCCTCGGCCGCAAGATCACGCGTGCGCTCTTCGGTGTGCCATTTGGTCTAGGCGCGCACCTGCACGGCAATATGTGCGCCCTCTGCCACGTCAGTTTCGGACAGAAAAGTGTGCACGGCTGTCCCCATCAGCTGCAGGTTCTTCTATGATTCAGGAGTCGAAGGTCGGGAGCACGTTTGCCGCTGTCAGTGCGAGGCGGCGCTGGCCTCGCCGTGCACGTCACCAATGTGCATTCATCTGCTGCCCTGAGCGCCCGGGGAATCGTGCATCATGCAGCTGCGCAAGCACGGTCTGCTATGCCTCGACACTCCCATGCGTAGTACTCTGAGCGGTTGGGCAGTGTTTTTTTCCCCCAGCGGTGCCACCGCACGCACAGTGCTACGCCCGCGCGTACCCACGCGTTTTGCAGCGCACGCTGGGCATCGGCATGCTCAACTTTGCGTCGGAGCGTGCGCAAAGGCAGAGGCATGCCACTCTTGTGCCCGACCATTTGCTGCGCTATACACGCCGTGGCACCGCTGCGCTCGGCTGCGCGACTGCGCGTTCGCATGCTGGCCCACCAAGCACTAAGAACCTTTACGCTTGGCCAAGCTCGTTTCTATCTTCGCCGACTACCTGCCAGCACCGACGCTAGTTGTTCCCAACCACATTCGGGCTACAATCGGCTATGTCACACGGGATGCAGCTATAGAGAGACCTCCTGCGGGCCAGGTGCCCCGCGTGCTCGACTGCACGCCTTCCGCTGCATGTCTACCCCAATCCACCCGCCTATCTACATCGCCGCCTCATGCGAGTCGTTGCGGGCAGCGCTACCTCAGTGCACGCCGCCTCTCAGATGCGCGTCCACCATTATGAACCACTCGGCGCGGTTTATTATCAGCATGCAGACTGCTGCGAGCCCAGCGCTCGACGCGCCCAGCACGGCGCAACTTGTTGCGCCGCCATCTGGCGGAAGGGGCGCCTCCGTCGAGGTCTCGCCGACGGGCTCGCCTGCTTGGCGCCCCCGCGCGCTAGGCGGGAGGCGGGCGCGCCCCGTCGGTCCGCGCCGCTCGCCCGGCGCCAAGTCGGCGTCAGAGCCCGCAGCGAGGCCGGCGCCCGACGATCCGAGGCATCGAGCTCCACGGAGGTCTCTGCTTCATTGACGCAGGGCCGAGCACGCCGCGCTCGCCCCACGGGCGCACTCGCAACGGCTTGCAAATGAAGGATTTTGTTGTGATGTTCGCCAAGGCTTCTCATGACACACGCATCCATGGAATTTGAAGCTCGCGCATGTGTCACGCGCGTCCTACGTCTGGGCCGTCACCGCGGAATACAGTGGGAGCGCGTGCCAGGGGACCATTTGGATTTCGCTGGGGCGCTCTAGGTTTCTAAGGTTTCGATCGGTTCCCAGTAGAAACTTGTCAACGTTCAATTGAGAACCATGGGCTATGATTGAAAAATCGCGGACTTCAGGGCTGGGTTTCTTGCGGGAGTTTCTTGTGGCCGAGCTTCCACTGTAGCGCGCGCGGCAGAACGGGCGATGGCGCGTCGCACCGCGCGCCACGCAAACCCGCAGCGGTTGCCGGCTTTAGCGGCGCCTCAACTTGCGCGCCGCAGGTGTAGCGCGCTCGCCGCCGTCTAGCGACCCATTCAGCCCCACCGTTGCAGCGGGGTCGGAATGCGTCTGCCACGCGCGCGCATTGGCGCAACGGCTTGCCCTCGCTGGCCCCCTTTACGGCCGAGTGCGACCGCGAAATCCCCCCCCTATGGCAGGAGTCCAGAGGGCTGCGTCGCAGCGCGCTCGGCGACCAGATAACCGTGCGCATCGCCGAAGAGAAGATCATCGCGCTTTCGCGCGTGGCCAGCTCCTTGAAAAGGGGGGGGGGTCAAATCGCCGCCCTGGTCCGTTCAGCGCAACGGCCTCCCGCCCGCGGCGGCAGGCGGCCCCGACGCCGAGCGCGCGGGGCGAATGAAGCAAGGGGGCGCCGGGATGATCGCGCTTCGACTTCTCGCGGGTCTCAGGCGCCCCTTGTGGAGCGCGGAATCTCCTCGGCGGAACGCCGCCGCGATCCGGCGGACAGCTCGCGCGGCTGCGCGTCGCGGTGGTCGCTGCTGGGCAATTGCCCCCCCCACACCCCGCGCGTCAGACATTCGCTGCGCGCTGCGCCACTTTACCGGTTCAGCGCGCGACGCCTGCGGCGCCCGAAGCAGCGCCGACCTGTCTCGCCCATGCGCGAGCGCTCGGGTGGCCCAGCCAGGCAATGCCATCATCGAAGGGTGGAAATGCGGACAGTTCTCCACGCTCGGTCACCAGTGGAAGAACAGCGACAACGCAGTTAGGGCAAACTTCGAGCTAGGACACATTCGCGACCAGGACAAGTTTGGGACCACTACGGCGCCTTACAACAGGGCGGTAAGAGTTTACACGACAAGAGCAATGACTGGCGTGACGTGGAACGCTCAGGTCACCTATCAGGAAGCGCCACGCGCCCCATGGCCCTGCAATCACGCGCGCGTCTGGCCGCCAGTGGGTTGCTGTCGACACTGTTCGTTTCGCGACAGCTCTGAGCGCGACCTGCTGCAGGCGCGTCGCGCCGGCAGTGGCAGCGACCAGCTGCGCTTGCGGCGGCGCGCCAGCCGTTCGACCTGCGCGCGCTGGGTTGCTGGCGCGCCTCGCCCTGCGGCTACGTCGCGGCAGGGCCCGAGCCGTCGTCCAGCACGAGCCCTTGGCACGTCTTGCCCGGGGCCGCCGCCAGCGGCCGCGCCGCCGCAGGGCCCGCGCAGCCTGTCACAGCGGGACTCTGGCAGGCTTTGCTTAGGAGCCGTTACCAGCGACGACGCAACAACAGGTTCTGCGCTGTCACTCAGCACAGGTCCCCAGCCTCAGAGCTGCCACCAGTGGCATCTCCACCGCAGGGGTCTGCACCGCCACGAGGCACGACCAAGTCAAAAAGGAGGACGTCCACGAAGAGTCCCACCACCACAACTAGCACAACT